TTCCCAGCACCCCCCGCGGTCTGCACTGCCGCGGCGGCGGCGGCGGCGGCAACCGCAGCAGCAGACCAACAGCAGAGAAACAGCGGCTCCGAGGGACCTCGCAAGAAGGCGCGCCCGGCCCGCCGGCCGCACCCCGCCGGGGGGGGGGGGGGCAGGAGGGCCGCCGGGCCCATCAGCACGGCGCCGATCCTGCCCCCGACGGTTCTGCACGAACGAAATGGGCACGGAAAGAATGGGTACACCTTAGGCGATGCTTAAGAAAATTTAAATGTTCGGCCAGAGTCTCGATTATTCTTAATGTTTCAATGTAGATCCTAAGGTTTGACTGGAAATTTTGGGTTTTTCTTCAACTTCTGGGACTATGAAATTCTGAACCCATGATTTCTTAAGCATTTCGCAGGGTGTACAATGCCCAACAGCGGATCCTGTTCATTTTGAGCAGGACTCGCTGTCCGCGCCGCCGCGGCCTGTATCCATTCGAGGCAGAAGGCCGCCCGCCCAACAGCGGCCGCTGTTGGTTTGGGACAACATTTGTTGTTGGGCATTGTGCCCATTCTTTCCGTACCCATTTCGGGCGTCCAAAACGGTTGCGCGCTCGTCGTGCGAGCGACGCGCAGAGGACGTCCCAGGCATCATCGCGTCGTAAGCAAAAAAAACGGACGCGGGGTTTTGTCCAGTTGCCGGCTTCGGGGGGCCCTCGCCGGGCCTCGGGAGCGTCAAAAGACGATTCGGGATGAAAAAGCGGTCCAGGGGAAAGGGTCGGGACTTCCAGGGACGCCGTCCTGACAAAATCAGGACGGTAATTACATGTCTTGGGTGGTCTTTTGCGCCGACATCGGCGCACAAGCTGGCCGAGTAAGGTCGCGCGTGAGCGCCCTCGTCTTCAAATGCAGCATGCCGCTGGAGGCCCGCGCAGCCCGCGGCGCAAGGTCGCTGTGCCACAAGATCCGTTTCTTCTCGTCGCTCATGTGCGCTCAGGGGCGCCAGTCGATCCCAGTCGCGCACGGAGGCGGCGGCGGCGGCGAAGGACGGGCGGCGGCGGCGGCCCCAGGCATCCGGCGTTCCGACCTCTTCGATGCGCGGGCCTCCGCGGTCCTGACGACTGCTGCCCTCGCAGGCCTAGAGGTTGACACCAACACCAAGATCGGCGGTGTGCCTCCACCGATGGAGGACGATCCCAATCTCGGTGATGGTGGTAATATTTTGGTTTCCAGGGTGACCGAAATATTACCACCAACACCGAAATCTAGGATCAGTTTCCCCATGTGGAGGCAACCTCTTGTGCTGGTGTTGGTGCCAATTTCCAGGCCTCCAATTCCCTGGACCCAGCTTTTCCCGTACCGAGCAGTTTCCTTGTGGTGACGGCCCCGCGAGGCCCCGGCAGCGGCCAGCCAAAGGCCAAGCAGATCTGGCGGCAGACTGGCCGCCTCGATTTCTCGTCGAGGCGCGGGTGCGCCTGCTGTCGGGCGAGGCTAGGACGAGCATAAATGGGCGCTTTCGCATTTTGTTCGGGCCCTGGGACCCTCACAGATAGGTTCTGGCTCAAAAATGAAGCAGAAAGATTGTGTCTGGGGCTCCAGGCGTGATTTGTCCGATTGTTTCGTTAAGTCGTATCTCAGGGTTCGTCGTACCGCCCCCCATCAGAAGAGGAAAGAACACATCCTCCCTTGTAATTTGCGTTTGCTGAGCGGCCCTGGGCGTTTACTATCAGGAGGGGAAAACACACATACACAAATAATTGTCGATCCCCAGGAAGATGTGGGGAAGCATGGAAAGTGGAAGGGAAGACGAAACTCCAGAAAAGATCGAAAAAGATAGGGCATCTTAGCATTTGTGAACACTTCTTTGTGTGTCACCACCTTCAGGGGAGACAGGTCCACCCCCACCCTTGACAGTTGCGTTTGCTGAACGGCCCTGGGCGCTCACCTACCAGCCCTTCCCTGTTCGATTCCTTCTCTGGGTGCCTTTACTGGACGCCTCTGCTTCTCTTCATGCTTCTTGCGAGGGTGCTCCGAGCTTCTTATTCATCAACGGGGGGGTGACAAACGTGAAAACGCGGCGCGGCCAACCCACCCGGCACCTCCCCCGCGCCCCAGCGGGGACGGGATCGAACCCCAGACCCCCCCTGGTATTCCCGCGGACGCGCCGCGGCCAACCCCCCCGGGCACTCCAGGGGGGGGGGGGGGGGCGATTATTAAGCGATCCAGAGTAGTCTTTCTGCCCTTCTTGCCCCCGCCCCGAGGAACACCTACTTTTCAAAGGGGGCTCGGTCGTTCCTTTGGTTTGCATGCGTTCCGCTACCTTTTTGGCGGCGAGACCCCCTGGTGTTCCTTCGGACTTCCTAGATTTACTTGGCAACAAAAATTCTTCGTTCCTTATTCATCGTTCCTTAGGTCAGGCCGAATACTGTAATTAGTCATTCTGCCCCTCTTTCCCCCGCCCCGAGGAGGCCAGAGCGCCGGCCTTGAGCGCGAAGGACGCGGAGACCTTCGGCGACGCGGCGGACGCCCCCGGGCCCTGGGCGAAGCAGGCGTGGCCATCGGCCGGGGGCTGCCGAGCGGCACGGTGACCACTGTCAAGCAGTGGCGAAGCGTCTTGGTGTGCCTATAGGCCCACCAAGCAGTGTTCTAATCACCTTTATTTCGGTTCCAGCGAAATGTTATCAAAACATTTCTAGCTGGGACATGTCTTGTCGTAGCACATCGGGCTTATGTTCTAAGACCACTGTCTTTGTCTTCAGAACCTCTCTGGGCTCTGAGAACCTGTCGTGGCAGGCCTATATAGGAATGCTGGGACGGCCGCTCCGCGTGGCGAGTCACGTGTGGGCTCGGGGTGGCCGCGCGGCTTTGGGGGGACCTGGCCCAGAGATCCGACGTCGTGATTTTTGCAGTACCTTGGAGGTCTGGGGGGCCCCTCCTCTCCCAGGGCGCCATCGGGGCGGCCGGGGCCCCCGAGGCCCCCGACGGTGGCCCGGTGGCCGTGCGGGGGGTCTCTCGGTGGACTCCGAGGCCGCAGCCTCGGCCTGCCGCAGCCCGGCCTCGGGCCCCGCCGGGGGGATGGGCGCTCCCAGAAGGGCCTCGGCCTCGAGGGGCGCAGGCGGATGCACCCTCGGGGCGACGAAAGCGACGGCGACGACGGCGACGGCGGCGACCACGACGAGCACGACGGCCACGACGGCGACGACGACCACGATCACGACGACGACCGACGAGGCCCACAGAGGGCCACGGGGGGCTCCAGGGCGCCCCCCATCGTGCGTCGCTGAGCTGGGATGCCGCTTGCCTGTTCCGTCGAGTGGCCCACAGCGTTGGGGAGTTCGGGCCTCGGGTCGGCGAATACTCTGTCGTCGCGGGCGAAAAAGCATGAGCATTGCTGCTGCCACTGCTGCTGAGGCATTGGCTCTCACGAAGTGTTTCCTTGAAGTGTCGAGGCCGCTACTGTAGTCGGACCGAGGTATGAGGTCGAGGTCGGTTCGGGGAGGGTACCCTAATGCTCTTCTCGTTTGTTGGATGTTCTTCGTGCATCCTGGGAGAGGGTACCCTCGACTAATCTTCTGGTTAGGGGTGTTGGCCAGCGGAGGGTCTCATGTTCCTGAAGAGTGCCTTTCTGCCCCAGGTCCGACCGTCTTGACAGCCTTCGGATTAGCACCGCTGGTTCTATCGGAACTGTTCCTGCGCCCGCAGACCAGTAAGGCGGCAACAAAAGCAGTGCGTGAGAATGAAAGTGCAGGAGAGCACAAGTGCAAGCTTCTCCTCCTCCTCCTCCCCCTCCTCCTCCTCCTCCTCCTCCTCCTCGTCCTCCTCCTCCTCCTCCTCCTCCTCCTCCTCCCACCTCCTGCTCTTCCTCATCCTCCTCCTCGTCTTACTCGTCGTCTTTCTCGTCCTCCTCCTCGTCCTCCTCCTCCTCCAACCCCGATAAGAGAATTCGGTGGCACAGGGGGGAGCCTTCAGAAGCGTTGGCTGCTCTTGTTAGTCGTCTCTTACCCTCAATTCAGACTGCCTGGATGTAGGATTACTTGGCGGGTGAAGCATATTGTCTTCCGAGGTGCCCCGTGCTCTCTCACTTGTCCCTGGAAAACCTGAGGAACGGTTTACCTTCACCCTTGGTCGTGCCCATCGCCTCAACCTTGCAGGCGCTAACAGATGCGCATTCCGTGCGTGCCGCAGAATGGCACGGCAGGCCCCAAAACGACACAGTTCTTGACAGAGGGGAAACAATCGTAGTTTCTTCAACCCAGAGCAACTTTCGCCAGATATCGAGTCATGCTTGAGTGGGACGGTGCCTGGACAAAAAGTGTCCACACCCATGGCGGGAAGGCATGCAACATGATAACAACCACAACTCCGAAGTGCACCTCTCCCCCCCGAACCCAAAGTTGAAATGTCCACATTTTGTCCCTGGCCTGTGGCCTACCGCCTAAAACGGTCAACTTTATTTTTTGGGGGGAAGGGAGGTATACATGCTGGCCCGAGGTACTTTAATGACTCCAGGTGTTGGCGAAACACGTGTGGGCACTTTTAGTCCACCCATCCGGTCGAGACGAGACGAGATTTCTGGAGGCTTCTGGAAGCAGCAACCAACAATTGGCAACGCACAGAAGCCTGAATCCTCCTCGTCCCCCCGATCCCCGGACCTCCGGGGACGCCCAGGCCTCTGCGCACCTTCGTCCCCCAGCGACGTGCTCGGCTCCTCCTCTCCTCCTCCTCCTCCTCCTCCTCCTCTCCTTCCCCCCCCCCCTTCCTCCTCCTCCCTCCTCCTCCTCCTCCTCCTCTTCTCCTCCTCCTCCTCCTCCTCCTCCCCCTCCTCCTCCTCTCTCCTCCTCCTCCTCCTCCTCCTCTTCCCCCCCTCCTCCTCCTTCCTCCTGCTCCTCCTCTTTCCTCCTCCTCTCCTCCTCCTCCTTCTACTCAGCCTCCTCCTTCTTCTCCTCCTCCTCCTCCTCTCTTCTCCCCCCTCCTCCTCCTCCTCCTCCTCTTCTCCTCCTCTCTTCTCCTTCTCTCGTCCTCACTTCCTCCTCCACCCCTCCTCCTCCTCCTGCTGCTCCTCCTCCTCCTCCCTCCTCCTCTTCCTCCCCTCCTCCTCTCCTCCTGCTCCTCCTCTTCCTCCTCCTCTTCCTCCTCTTCCTTCTACTCAGCCTCCTCCTTCTCTTCTCCGTCCTCCACTCCTCCTCCTCCTCCTGCTGCTCCTCCTCCTCCTCCTCCTCCTCCTCCTCCTCCTTCTCCTCCTCCTCCTCCTCCGCCTCCTCCTCCCCCCCCTCTCTCCATAATTCGCATTTGCTCTAGTCGTCCCTGGGCGTTTACGAAGCAGCCCAGTCCTGTTCGATGTTTGCCCCTTGGCTACGTTTACTAATCGGCTTCGGTTTCGGGGTGCTGCTTATGAGGGCACGCGTTGAGATCCTCCTCCTCCTCCTCCACTTCCTCCTCCTCTTCCCTTAAGATCCGACGCAGCATCGCAAAAGATCACGATCGGAGCCCTAGACCAGATCGATCCGTGAGGGTCCCGGGGCCCGAGCCCGGGCGAAGACGGCCTTTTGCGAAAGAGTTGCAACGCCAGGATCTGAGGGTCCTCCTCCTCCTCCTCCCTGTCGTCTCCGAGGGGGACATCTTTAGTTTTTCAGACTGCACTTAGGTCGCTCCAAAACAACGCCCTCCTCCCCGTCTCCCCCTCCTCCTCGGCCCTAGTTTGCCCAGCCTTGTCGCCGCGATGCCGTTGCGGGTACCAGGCGATCGTACCTGGATAGAACTCATAAGAGCCTCTGGCCCACATGTCGACTTGTCGTATTTAAACCCGAGAAGATGCTCTGGTAGCGGTAAGATCATGTGGATTCGCTTCGAGGTACTGCGTGTCCCTCAATAGTTCTGGGGGTACCTGTAGTACAGGGAGGGTACCTGTAGTCCGGAGAAGGGATACCTGTCGTCCTGGGGGGGAACCAGTCATCCGGGGTTGGGTACCTGTAGTCCGGGGGAGGGGTACCTGTAGTCCGGGGGGGATACCTGTAGTATGGGAGAGGCGCGCGTTCACGCGTGTACGCACGGATGGTTCCACGCACCTGTAGCTTCGGAGGGGTGCCCGTAGTCCGGGGGAGGGGTACGTGTAGTTCGGCGGGGGGTACCTGTAGTCCAGGGGTGGGTACCTGTATTCCGAGTGGAGGGGACCTGTAGTCCGGGGGAGAGGTACCTGGAGTCCGGGGAGAGGATACCTGTAGTCGGGGGGTATTTGTATTCTTGGGATCCCAAACTATTGAGGGACATTGAATATATAGATCCAGTCCAGTCCAGTCCTCTCCAGTCCAGTCAGGTCTGGTCCAGTCCAGTCCAGTCCAGTCCAGTCTAGTCCTCCTCCCTCCTCCTCCTCCTCGTCCTCCTCCTCCTCTCCTCCTCCTCCTCCTCCTCCTCCTCCCTCCTCCTCCTCCTCCTCCTCCCTCCTCCTCCCTCCTCCTCCCTCCTCCCCCTCCTCCTCCTCCTCCTCCCCTCCTCCTCCCCCTCCTCCTCCTCCTCCTCCTCCTCTCCTCCTCCTCCTTCTCCTTCTCCTCCTCCTTCTCTCCCTCTCCTCCTCCGTCTCCACCTCCCTCCTCCTCCTCCTCCTCCGTCTCCTCCTCCTCCTTCCTCCTCCTCCTCCTCCTCCTCCTCCTCCTCCTCCTCCTCCTCCTCCTCTCCTCCTCCTCCCCCCCCTCCTCCACCTCCTCCTCCTCTCCTCCTCCTCCACTTCCTCCTCCTCCTCTCCTCCTCATCCTTCTCCTCCTCCTCCTCCTCCGTAGCCATTTTGGCTCAAGTTCGAAACCTTGCCGCGAGGCTTCGAGCTTGTCCGCAGCCGTGCGGCAGGCTCGGACGATTTCGGCGCGTGTGCCGCCCACACCTTGCGCGGGGCGCGCCATGGGATATCTCGTCTGTCTCGTCTGTCGCGATGCTGGCAAGACTTCGTGGATCCCCTACACCAACCCCCGCCAGAAGTGTAAGTTTTGCAGTACTCCCTTTCCTGGCCGCTCCAGAGGACAGGTCCAAGGAAAGAAGGGAAGGAGCAAAGGCAGGCGCAATGAGCCTGTCGTGTCCCCTCCCCGTGCTCGTTTCCATGATCGTCATGATGTTGATGGTTCTGCCACTCCCCAGTTCGGTCTTTGGATGAACGTCTTCAGGCTCCGTTGGATGATGAAGTGCAGAATAGGTTTGGATCTGACTCTGGCGACGACGGTATTGGCAGCGATCGCGGTTTCTGGGCTGACTATGTCGACGACGACGTTGATGGCGGCTGTGTCGACACCAATGGCAATGAGCTCTCGGTTGCGCAGATTGACCAGATTATCAAGGCCCTGTTGGGCCAGCTGGATTCCCTCCGCCTGCTTCCGCCGACCAGGTATGTTCTCGATCAGGTTTCGAGTCTCCAGGACGAGCTGCAGCATCTCCGAGCACAAAAGTCCGACATGCTTACCGTCCCCCAGAAGCGTGCGTTCTACAAGCAGCGTCATCACTGGGCCAGTAAGAAGTTTGACAAGATCTCTAGCCAGATCCGTGAGTTCGATCGTAAAATCCTGGACCT